ATTTCCAGGTTTTCGTCCCCCTCCGGGAATTTTAAAACAGGGGCATTAATAAGCGCTTCTTTTAATCTTTCAAAAGCTGTGTTAGCTTCCGCTGTCCACGTAAATTTACTCTTTTTTTTCTTTTGATTACTAAGAGTGGTTCAACAATATTAGCGAAATCTTTTATGAAAGATCGATAGTAAGAACATAACCAAGGAAAGAAGAAAGTTTCTTGGCGGTGTTGGGCGGTGGGAAATTCTTAATAGCTTTTATTTTTGAATCTTGCGTTTCTATACCCTTTTGCGAAATTTTATAACCGAGATATTTAAGTTCTTTAGTTGCGAACTTGCATTTTGAGGCGTTAATTGTAAGACCGGCCTCTTTTAATAATTTAAAAACTTGTTCGAGGTCATTAATGTGTTGTTCCAACGTACTACTCGTTATAATTATATCATCTAGATAAATTAAAGTTGATTTTCCTAGGACAGGCTTTAGAACAATGTCCATAGCTCTCTGGAATGTTGAATGGGGCCCCACACAACCCAAAGGGCATGCGTAAAAATGCATAAGTGCCCGATTTTGTTATAAACGCGGTTTTATGTATATCTTCGGGTCTCATAGCTATTTGATAGTAGCCAGACGTTAAGTCCAAAGTAGACATATATCTTGTCGATTTGATCTGTCTAATGATCTCGTCTATAACCGGCAAAGGGTAAACTGGAAATTTAGTAATACTATTTAGTTTTCTGTAATCGATAGCAAACCTCCAAGCCCTTTTATCTGAAGGAGGGAAGCCGTTTTTATCCGAAGGAGGAAACTCGTTCTTTTTCCTACATAGTACGACTGGACTCGCGTACTCACTATTTATGGGCGTTATTATTTTATTCTTTAACATCTCCTGAATATGTTCTTCGATGATTAGGTCTTTTTTGTTTATCATATAACGATAACGGTTTAGTCCTACAAGGTTTTTCGGCATTTAATTGAATCTTGTGAGTTACTATTCTGGACAGTTTCCCTGGTTTTTCTGAAAACAAATGAGAAAAATTACTCACCACTTGCTGTATTGCTTTACTTTCTTTCATGGTCATTCAGATGGCTAAGGTCCACTTCAGGTGTCTCCACAGGTTCCACCACCCTCTGGTCCATCTCCAACACCACGGAACTATCTTGAAAATTTAATTTGGCCCTCGCGGCCCTTAAAAAGTCCATACCTAAAATAAGAGAGTGTTGCAGGTCTTTCACCACAAAAATTAATACTTTGAGATTTTCCTCTTTTACCTGTAAGTTTAATGATAATTTCCCGATGCAGTGACATGTTTTTCCTTGCGCCGCTATAATTTCCGTATTTTTTGGTTTTAAATAGTCGTATCCTATAAAAATTCTTTTTGAAGAACTTTTTCACTCATAAAATTTCCTTCTGCTCCTGTATCGATGAGGGCTTCTACTGGTACATCGCCAACCAGGACTTGTATAATTGGTAGCTGTGAGTTTTTTACGATGACCGTATTTAAATGTCTATTTGAGGGTTTTTTTTAAAACTTCCGGGGTCTGGACCTCCCTTTCACAGGCCCCTCTAGTCGTTTAAAGCTTTCCTTTCAATCTGTGTCTTCTGGGTACGCGGATGTTTATTTTCAAATTTTCTTTTTGGGCCTTGACCTTCGAGTTTCGATGCGTTAGCTTGATAGTTCTTTCCCCCACATGAGCGATTTCCATTTCTGGTTTCCTCCTTCCTTCGGGTACTTTGAGAATATGTTTTCCCCTCTCGCTTTTCCCGCTATTCTGCGATTTTGAAAACTTCACCGCCAATTCGAAAAGTTCCTGCAATGTGCTTGGGTTTCTAATTTCAAAGTAGTCTTGGAACAGCGGGTAACAATCTTGGTAATATTATTTCAATAATCTCCGCATCGGGTTTTTTTCCATACAGCATATCCGTTAGCTTGATTTTTCGTAAAATAAAGTCCGTCAATTCTGCTGTATCCCGTTGGATAGAAACTATATAGTTCGGCTTCCAGCCGTGCGCGATCTTTCACTATGGGGAAGGCCTTTACTAACGATTTTTTGAAATTTCAAATATATATGTCGGGCTTCCAAATTCCCCTAGTAAGAAATTTTCCTATGTTTTTCCACCATAGCGCGGCCTGTCCTCTTAGTGCTGATGTGGCGATGGCAACTTTTTGTCTTTCAGGCACAGGGTAGAGCTGAAAGTGGTTTTCTAGACCTTCTAAAAATACGGACACCGAATTTTTTCCGTCGAAATAGACGTTTGGCTTGATTGACGCTCTCAAAGTCTGGACCAGGTATCCAAATCCTTCTAACTGACTTGTCATTTCTTGGTGTTGTCCAGCGGCTTCCATCCAGTTTTCGGCCATTTCAGTTCGATAAGTGTTCGGGCGCCAATATAACGTTGCGCGCCTCCAACTTGCACGCAACCAAGAGGTGACTGTGAAAACTTGTATAAAAAAAATAGAGCCTTGTGAAGGGTTTAAGTCCCTTTTTATTCAACGTAATAAAATTACAATTGCGTGCTCTTGACGCTCACAGACTGTGCCAACTTGGCAGTCAAAATAAAAATAATAACCTGAAAGAAAGTAAAGACAAGATTCTAACTACGAGGCTCTCTAAAATAACTAACTCACCGCGTTTTACAATACCGCTGCTAATTCAGCAGACTTGAAGCTCACTGGAACGATTACCACTACTTCCCGCCAAGCACCTAGGCCGCAACGCGGGTTTCTTCAATTCTCGCTAACTACCACCTCCGCGCTCGTGCAGTAAGAATATCACACACCGAACTCGTTTCCTTCTATTTAAATCAGAATACTTCCGCTGATAATTTGAATGCTTGCGCGTTCTACTAAAATTTACATATTCTGGCATTGGCAGTTCCAGGGAAAAGTAAGGCTTGACAGGAAAGATAGTTTAAACTTAAAATAAATGTTAGTTAAAATAAATATAAACCCTACAATATAACGGACTTTTGTTGCTACTTTGTACAGAACGGTTATTGTCAAATTTTTGAACGGAAAGAAACGTAACTTTTATCATTCGTTCCGTATTCGCTAGATTTGGCACATTATGGATGTTCCCAAAAATGAAATATTAAAATCTTACAAGGGCCACAATTTGATAGCATTTCGAAAATTTGAAAAATCGTCTCAAGGAAAAACATTGTCGGCTTTTTTGATGACAGGAGACTAAGATACATGCGGCTTCAGGAGGAATGCATAGGGAAAGACTTAACAATTATAAAGTCCCTCGTTCCAGATCTCTGATTTTAATGAATTGAGTGTTGAAGTTTTATGTCCGCACTATCGATATAAAAAATAATGCCTTATACTAGTAACAAGCGCGTGCAATTATTTTTATGCTTTCACATGCTTTGCACGTGTGAATAAAAAAATAAATAACAAAGAATTACTTTTACTTCCTTTTACGAAGTAAAAAGGAAGTGTTGTAATCGCGAAAAATTTCGGGTATCATATTTCAACGAAAATATCCATTTTGACCGCTATCGAATGCAATTTAACGATGTTTTTGCGTGACATCTTTACATAAGGACAGAATAAAAAAAACTTTTTCCCCCAAAAGAATTATAAAACTGATTTAAAATAGATTCAGAAGAGATTTTTTTCGTGGTATCTCACATAACTCAAAAACGAATAGTCTCAGAACGTTGAAATTATGTTTGTGGGACTGCTATAACTTGAATATGTGCACCTCCCTTTTTGGTTGCAGTCGGCCGCAGCATAAAAATATATGTATATATATATATATATATATATATATACCCATCTGTTACTCAGCTCAGTGACCTTAGTTTCGTTATTCTTATATATTTGTAAATTGTGCATTTTTGTTTTAAAAATGATTGAATTATGTTGTTCTTATCTTCCGGTTAAGGTTTTTATGCCTTTAGTTAACCTGCATGTTATAGTTGTATAATTATCAACAATTTAAAAGTTTTTATGTGCGGATACGCCTAATAAACCATAACAGTCATGTTTGTTTACATTTGAAACTTAGCAGAATAGTGGATTTGTTGCCAATCTAGAGAAACCAAGCTTCGCAACAGCAAAGTAACATCTTCTTTTATTATTGGGAATTAAATTATGCTTAATCCATTCTGAAATTATTATTTTTAAGTAATTAAATTATACCATATATTGACTCAGCATAACATCCACAACAAATTAAATAATTTTTTTTTTTTTGCCTTCAGTGTCTTTTTGCCGAGTGAAACCAAAAGTAAACTTTCAGTGGTGTGCACCGAAAAATCTGTTTTCTTGCCCGCTGGTCTAATTTGTTTTTGCGTAGAAACTGTAATTTAATTGTAAAAAAAAAAAAAAAAAAAAAAAAAAAAAAAAAATCTGAAATGTTTCAGATTTTAAATTACGTCCAAAGGGGCGTTTTTTAACATTTTGTGTGTTACCTTTCTTTATTAAATATCATGTTCCTCGCACTTAAACCATAAGATCCAGTGCAACAGCAATATCGCAAAATAGTTTTAAAAACGAGCATATCTTTAGAATTTCCGATACAGAGACTCACGCGCTGGAGATAAAAATGTTTTTTTCTGCACAACGTTGCCATTGCTCGCTTTGAAATCCTTGAGTTTGTTAATCAAAAATTCGTCAATGTTTTAAAAAATAGGAAATCGATCATAAAACAAATTTCAAATTTGGTCTTCCACATGCTCATATTCGTTGGAGGATTACGTTATTCAAAATTCGATGACTCTATGTACCGTTGTTTTATCACAATACGAGAAATATACATACATTTATGCAGATTTTTCATTTTTGAATTTCTTCAAATATAATGCAGGACTCTTAACATTTTGAGGCAACAGTTTGAAAAGTGAACCGACATTTATGAGTCCGACGCAAAATGCCAAAACGAAACTAATAGTCCTTCGGGATTCAAATCCCTTTGGACTAAAAAAAAATTGTATTTGGTGTTTTATGTTTTTTATATCTTTAAATTTTTAATGAAGATGTTTTGTGTTTTTATTATTTTAGCCAGGCAAAAATAATAGTGTAAAATAATAGGCGAAATAAGAACTGAATTAATTGAATGAAAAATACAACTCTAATGAAATTCGACGAAAAAAGTGTTTCATATTAGCAGAAAATACTGTCGCCAGTCTGTTTCGGACAAATCAGAATGTTTACAAGTAGCGCATGTGCATTAGGTAAGCAGCACTGAATCTTAGTATATAATATATTTTTATTCTTATAGACAAAATCTTTATTTTTATGTATATGTTTTTAATGTTTATCTTTATTTACATCTTTAATTTAAAACTGCGATATATTATTCCGGATAATGCGTTAAGTTACAGGGTTTTGCTTGATCTGCTGATGTTTTAGTCCGAACAAACCCCTAATAGGCGTAAGGCGAATTATCGCTAACGAAGGCGAAATTTCGTCTGAAGTAACTACTAATAAGTCTCGAGAAGGTTTAAATAACCTTTTTATTTTAACACAACTTAAAAGCATAAACTTACTCTCTTGTGCTACTGTATCAGCCACAGCTCGTCGTGATGCAACTAAACAAAACACTTAGAATTTAAGGTAAAAGTTTAACAGTAGTGAAAGACAACAAATTAAATATTACGTTTGGCTCGTAATTCTACCGGAGCATCAAAATCAAAATATCGGCCACGATAGGAACTCAAAAACCAATAATTACTCCTGTCAGAGCTGGCAGGACGTTAACACATAGCATGAACGCGAAGCCAGGAACATGCTCTGTCTTAAAATCCATAAACCTCACTTTAAACAAGGGAACAAAATTACAGCAGTTATACATTCGTTATCTGACCAGATCGAATTCTTTGAAATAAAATTACTTTAATTCTTTTCATTTCGACAACGAGTTTCATTGTCAAAGATATACGAGAGTAAAAATTCTATATCAGCGGTGATTGTGGATTATGATAATCTTTTTTTCTTGTCCAGTAGATAGAAACTGACCTTGCGAAAAAATCGTCTGCCGCATCCCATAGGGATTGGACAGTCACGTGCAGGAACTCGTTTCACATCCTGCTGTCCGGTCACGTGACTATTGTTGTCGATATGAGTGGTATGCCTGAGCGCTGCATTCTTTTCTAGCGAGGGGATAATAGCCAACACCTCCTTATAGAAGGAAGCCGGGACACTGGATTGTGACGTCACGCGTAGTCGTCTATGTCGAAACCCCGAGAGAGCAACGAAACAAAACAGGCTGCGCGCTAGTGCCGTACTTAACGTTGATTTCACTATTTGATATAGATACTTGGGTGGGATTTTATTCAGAGATTCAATTATATATAATGAATAATTTAATTACTTCAAAATTTAACACAATAAAATTTGACATAAATTTAAGAATTTTTTGTTTCTTATTTCTTGACTTTAATGAATTATACTTCCTTGTAGGTTTCACAGCAGCATTTAAAAAGTTAAAAATCAGCCATACTAACTCAAAAAAGGAATTTCTGACTTTTCCCTCATAATTTAATATTGCTTTATATTTTTCTAATATTTATGAAAAAAACCCAAATTATCTGCATACAAACTATTACTTATCATTTCATTTTTCTTCCAATCAGTAATTTGTCTTTAAAAGAAAATGGTATAAAAATGCACTAAATTTTGTCTATAATATGCTATGTGTCTTGCAAGTTTCAAATAAATTAGTATATCAGAGGTTTGCTTAGCAAATAATTCAATGTGCAATTTAAAATTATTGCTTAAATCTGTAGAACCAATAATATTAGTTGTATATGTACTTAACTGTATTGTGTTAGTTATATAGCTGAACTTGAAAATAAAGATTCACAAGTGAAAAATAAAAAAATTTTATTTACAATTTTATGCAAGCAGTCAGCATAACAACACAACACCTAAGTTATAACATACAAATAAGTTTAAAACCAGCTGATCTCTTTTTATCAATAAATTATTCAAACTTTCTTGTAAAAATTGAAGCAGAAATCTCATTAAGCATATTGCCATACTAAGAAATCTCATCAATTCTTATTTATTAACAGGTGTGAAAATTTCAAAACTGCTTCTATATTAATTGGGTCTCATCAGAAACAATAAGATGAGACTATGTGACCTTAATATTTAAATTTTGATACTGCAAGTTCAAGTTTCTATTCGTTAAATTTCAACCCATTTTGTCTGGCAATTACAAACACCGTTATTAACTTTTTACAACAGCCAATTAATAGTTTCAAAATGTATTACGATACTGCCATAATATGGATAAATATCGGGCAAACACTTGAGAAGACCGTCCATTACCATTTAAAACACTTCAGGTGCACAAATGATATTAAATTTTATACGATGGCTATTATTATTTATGAAGCATATAAAGATACATTCAACAGCAAATGGATGTCAGCATCACCAGTATATGTAAAAACATTTATTGATGTTGTGTAAAGGAAGTGATTATCAGTTAATGTTTCAAATATAGAAAATAATAAAAATGTTTTACCTATGCACCAGTATCCAATTTGAAAGTATCTGGTCACTACATGCAACACAATTTTGTTGTAATTTTTCCAAGCTAAAATCGTGATCTTCTAAGTTACTCGCTATCAGGCTTGTTTAATTTAAGCAAAGAATATATCAAAATGATTTGTCCAGAAAGCCACCAGTCTTAATTATGGGACACCGGTAATTTCAAAATGCACATGAAAATCACAGGTTTGTGAAATGACTGCTCCTAATCAGAGACACCCTTTATTCAGCCAATTCCCAGAATAATAGTAGGAGTTATTACAAACCTGTTATTTTGTCGCCATGCTGAAACACATAACTGTTATCTTGATAAAGTAATTTATCATATGGTAACATGAAAATTATACTCAAATGATATAAGTAATGGCCACTTAAAGACACAACACAGACCCTTTTTACACAACAACAAATTAAAGACAAGGAAATGAATTTTTCAATATTTTTAAGCGTAAAACAGTCAGTACATGCCCATATAAAAAATATAAATTATAATGACCCATTCTCAGTATAAAAGCAGCAGTTACCATAAACTTGTCATCTTGTAAGCATGCTGAAACACAACTTTTATCATGAGAAAGCATTTTACAGTATGTTAACACCAAATGATAACCACTTACTAAACATTAAGTGGTAGCCATTTAAATACAACCCAGATACCATTTTATGCAGCAAACACTCAACAGCACGAAAATGAATTTTTCAATATTATCATCTTTCAAGTGCTCTGAATATAAAACAGTCAGTGCATGTCCATATGAACAAAATTATAATGACCCATTCCCAGTATAATAGCAGCAGCTATTATAAACATACAATTTTCTAATCATGCTGGAAACATATAACTGTTACCTCGATAAAACATTTTACCATATGTTAACACAAAAATTATATCAAAATGATAAGAGTAGTGGCCACTTAAAACATAACCCACACACATTTTTATGCGATGACAAATTAAAGGCAAGGAAATTCCTTCTTCAATATTTCAAGTCATAGAGTGGATATATATATAAATATATTTATATACGTTTGGTGTGGCCGATTGCAACCAAAATACGAGGTGCACATATACATGTTATAGCAGTCCTATATACAAAATTTCAACGTTCTGAGGCTACTCGTTTTTGAGTTATGTGAGATATGTACGTACGCACGAACGTACGTACATACGTTCGTACAGAAGCCACGAAAAATTCTCTTCAGAATTAATTTTAGTTTCAGTTTTTTTAAGCAGTTTTATAATTTTTTTTGAAGGAAAAGAGTATTTTATTCTGTCCTTACGTACAGATATGGTGCAAAAAACATCGTTAAATTGCATTCGATAGCGGTCAAAATGGATATTTTCGGTGAAATATGCTGCCTGAAACTTTTCGCGATTATAATACTTCCTTTTTACTTCGTACAAGGAAGTAAAAAGGACATGCCTTCTTCAATATTTCAAGTCATCTAAATATAAAACAGTTAGTATATGTTCATATCAACAAAATTATAATGACCCATTACCAGTATAACAGTGGCAGTTATTATATACATATCATTCGGTAAGCATGCTGAAACATCACTTTTATCAGGAGAAAGCATTTTACCATATGTCAACACCAAACTTATACCCAAATGATAAAAGTAGTGGCTGCGCTAAAACACAAACCGAGACACCTTTTTACGCAATGACAATTTAAAGGCAAGGAAATGCCTTCTTCAATATTTCAAGTCATCTGAATGTTAAACAGTCAGTATCTGTCCATATCAACAAAAGTATAATGACCCATTACCAGTATAACAGTGGCAGTTATTATATACATATCATTTTGTACCCATGCTGAAATATCACAGCTTAATAGTTTCACAACTTTATAGCTACAGTAACCAGCTATATACATTAAAATTGGTATGTTATTTTGAACATTTTGTATATCTTCATTTGTAATAGTTATTCTTCCTGAGAAAGTGCATCCAATATTTTCTTGCTCCAGAGATTCAATACACAGGTTTTTACAATTTAGATAAATAGGAATTCCTCCATACTTTGATGATTTAATAACAGTTGGCAGAAGACTTTGTAATCTTAATTTTGCTTCAGTTTCATATACTTGCCTTATAGAAATATTATGTTGTGAACCAGCCAGCTGTCTATATTTTCCGAATCTATTCTCTAGGAGATCTGTCTGAACTTTTCCTGGTAAAAAGTAAGTAAATTTTAGCTCCTTCAATGCAATACCTTGCCATTTCGAGCAACGAATAGCTAGTATGTGTTAATGCAAAATGTTTCTTAGTTAGTCCACCACTAGAACAGCCTAAAAGTTTCCACTGATCTAACCACTCAAGTAACTTATTTAAATAAATATATCTAACATCATCATTTTGCACAGTTAACGGCTTTTGATACTCATTCATCTTATGGTGTCCTTTAAAGATACTTTTGACATTGACTATTGACCACCATGTAGATATAATTTTAATAAATTCAGCTGTTGTTTCGTAATTTAAAATACTATTTTCTTACCAATAACCATTATTGCCTCTGCAAGACGACTGTCAAATATTTGTAATGCTAGCTTGACATTTTGTCTTTCCAAATTGGTTGGATACAGAGCTTTCTTTTAGAGTCAAATCATAACTATATTTTTACAATTCTGCCTGCCTCTAATGAAATGGAGACTTTTTTATGCATGCAAATGCCGCTGTTTCGACCTTGGAAAAATTTTCAAAATTTGGATAAAATAAACATTGCCCAGAAGTTTTTTGATTTATCCAGTTGTTCCTGACACACTTCAAGATGTGCACTGAGTCAATAACAAAAAATAGTGGCCGAAGATAAGTCTGCAGGGTTTTTATACACAATACTAATTTTTGGAGGCATACAAAATAATAATGACATGGCTTTTTTATTTATTGAATTATTGTCAGAGACAACTGCCACAATTCTATAACCTATATTTTCTAAACCAATTATAATTTTCTTAAGATATTGATACAGATCCTCAGCATTTAATGATTTAACTGGTAATATATGTGCCACATCCTTGAAAGGTGATAATAAGCTACGTATCATAAAAACATAAGCACTTGTAGCAGCTTTTTCACAGTTGTAGGCCATGCCACACAAATTTCCTCCTTTAAAATCGAAACATGAATTTAAATGCACTTCATCCATCATAATAATTACAGTTTTATCATTTTCTTCTAAATCCTTGCATCTTTGTTTAACATATCCTAAAAAGTCATCATTAAATTGCTCAGAATAAATAATTATACCTATCCTAATAGGATTAAGAGAAAACATTGAACAAATTCTACGAATAGTACGTGGATGGGGAATAGAAATGTAACCTGAATGTCGTAAAAACTTGTATGCATGCGGTGAGATCGAGTTTAACAAACTGCAAAAAATAAGTAAATCTGGAGTATATCGATACTTCTCTTTCTTTACATTTAGTTTATTTACTTGCTCTGAAAGGAAGTTCAGTTCAGTTTCTTTTTCAGGTAATAACACTCTTTTCAATTCTGAAAGCATATCATCCACAATTTGTATAGAATTCTTGATATATTCTTCATTTTGTAAGTTATGAGACAGACTTTCAACTTCCTTTAGTACTTCTAGAAACATATTTACATTACTAATTTTTAGAGGGAAAACAAATTTACCAATAGATTTTATAGCGATGTTTTTAATATAAACACATACTGTTAAATCCTCATTTATTACTACCGATTTCTGAATTTCTGGAGCTGGGTCACTTAAAATATCAAGTAACATAGTTGAATTTTTCAGTATGTACAGTTGTCCAAATTGTTTCTAAAATCTGATGTTCTAGGCAATTATTGAATTCAATTAAACTTTCAAATGATCGTTCATTATCATACCGTTCTTTCATTTTCAAACTTTCTTCTATCGCTTTCTCCAGGTATTTCTCTTCTAAACGAGCTTTCTTCTTTTCTGGTGACATTCTCGATACAGAATTTGATGACATGTAGGATGAGCCATCAGGGAACTGAGAAGGTATGCATCCTTTTTTCAAACGTGGCCTAGAAATTGGGGCTTTAATTAACTTCGCTGATTTCTCATCATACATTTCGATTTCTCGTATTATTTCATCTGATCGAAAATGTAATTCACATACCTATAAAAGAAATATTCAAAAATCAACTTGTTGTGAGTACAAAAGTTAGATGCATGTTAATATTTAGTAACAGAAGTCAATAAGCCCTATGATTTAAATAAATAATTTGATACATAAATACGAATTAAAAAACCAGTAATATCATTTCAATTACGTGTATAATTTAAGTAATTTGTAAAATCTGGAATGCTCATCATAATGATTACAGCTTTATTTACATTTAAAGAAAATTATATATTTGAGATAATTGTTTACAACAAACACTGGTTACCAAATACAAATAATTACCTTGAATACATCATACCAAACTTTCATATATCATTACAAAAAATTTTAAAATGAAACCTATTATGATTACTTAGTAGTTCCTTGTCATATAAATTATGATAAATTTGGAATAACTACAGAATCTGCCTGCACAGTATACTAGAAAGCATTTACAAATTATTGGCATTTATGTAACTACTAAATTTAGAATTATTCCTGTTATATGGAACTTTATTTCATTCATAAAACTTTGAAGGAAAATATTTTTTTGAAATGATTAAAACAGGCAAGATTAAAATCTTTCAAACATAAAACTTCTTACCCCACAGATCAAAATCTAATATCGTAAGCATAAACATCACATACCTATCAATAAAAGTAATAAAAAAATGTAAAGATACAAAACATAAAAAATGCAGTAAAATTGAACTTACTCTGGTATGTTTAGTAGGTTGAAAGCCATCTTTTCTTCGTAGACTCCTTATCCATTTCATCCGGAGTTCAGTCTCATTTGGAAACTTGAATACAGCCACTTTTGGTCCGTTTTTATAATTACCACGACATGTGGCTACAGCACATTTATGAGGCATCGTATGAAATTATAAAAGCACGAGACAATATAAAAACTCTGTCGCTAACGCAAATAACCGCTCCACGTTCGTCGCTCTTGGCTCAACTACGGGGCTTTGATTTTGTTTGAAGGAGCGAGGTGAGTCAGAGACGACTACCTGTGACGTCAGAGCTTCCCCTCGCTTCAGTGTCCCGGCTTCCTTCTATAAGGAGGTGTTGTAATAGCCAGCTGTTGAATGATGCTTTGCTAGAGATGCACTTAATGAAAAAAACTACGCATGCTCAATGGATAGCGACGGCAAATACGCCATTAGTGTTTCTTATTGAAAAATACCTACAGAAATATAATGCTATAGTGAACTATCACAGCCAAGGCCCTATTTGCAAAATTGGAGTCTCGGGTGAAACCTGTTACGAAGCCTTCTACTTCTCTAATTATTTTCTATATAGTAGATAAGAGTGATGCGATATGTATAAAGTATTTCATAAAATAACCAAATAACTTACTGTTTCAACTTTCAAAATCATTTAAGTGGATTTAAAATGCATTTCAATTAACAGCGTGATTTAATGGTTTCAGTTTATTATTTCTATGTGTTTTGTTTTCATAGCTTCAGTTTACCATGCGTTGAATAAGGCTTATATATTTTTGTTTTGTTTTAAACCGGGGAAGTTAAAAAAAAATTTGTATAAAGAGAAAGACTAAAGAATTCTTTTTGCTTTTATTTCAAATGTTAATTAAATTATGGATATAAGACCAAAATAATGCAATTGTTTATTAATTTAGTGATCAAGTATATTTGTACACCTACGATATTTAAAAGACCCTCATAATCACGCGACATCATGAACTGCAGATGTAGTGGTTATACGGTATTATAGTTTAGAGTTGTGTAAGTTAGCGATAGTTCACAAATCAAGGCTCCGCTGAATGATATCAATCGCTAAAACAGTTATTAAAAACCGAAAACAGTTATTAAAAACTGAAACTGTCCGAAAACAGTTATTAAAAATTGTTTTAATGTCTGTCCTCTCTGATTTAATGATTTTAAATTTTTGTTCTTGCTCTAATTTTATACTTTTGAAACGCAGAATAATAATAATAATAATAAAAAGGCGTTGTACATTTTTATTATTTTTAATATAATAGAAGGATTTAGGGATCTCCTTCGGATCCTGTTGCAGATATAGCATTCTTTTTTTCCTACCGTTACCTATATATCAATATTAATTAGTTAATTTGTATTGGAAGGGAGACTTTTCTCAGTTAAGAGGTTTAAATCCCCCCTTAGGCACCTTTATCACAAATTCTAAACTCTCCTCACTGGTTTTATTACTGCGAGAAGGGGATGTAATATTCAAATTAAATTATGACAATGTAATAAGTAATTTTGCATCGAAAAATGTTTCGAAGAAATATAATCAAATGTCATTACTCTTTTAATTTGTGATTAATACTGCTATTACTGCATACGAAATCATCTAATAATCATTATAGAAGCTTTAACGCTACTTATGTTTAAGTTAATGTTACTACTTATGTTTAAGTTAATGTTATTTCTTATGTTTAAGTTGTATTTTTATTATTTTTTTAACCAACGATCACAAATTTCTCTTCCGTGGCGAAAGAAATCATCAAAAGATATTATTCTTTCCATGGCAGAAAGAAGCAAATTAATTTCTTTTTTTTACACTCCACATTTTCCGTTAATAAACAATTGCATTATTTTGGTCTTATGTGTGTAATTTAATTGATTAAAATTTCTAATAAAATTCGGAAGGATTCTATACGCTGTTTTTCTTTTCCAATTTTTTTCCAGAAAAAACAAGACCCTGGTTTAAAACGTATAAACTTATATTTCGTGCAACATAAAAGACACTGAAAGCATGGACGGGAACGGCGTACGAAAAGGTAAAATATAATTTCTTGTTAAAATAATTTTAAATGAAAAAAAATTAGATTAATAAAATTGAAGGATTCCCCACTGTGTAATTCTCAGTTGAAAGGGAAGAATCTTAACAATTAGTAAGCGAATAATCGCTTGAGTTCGTGTACAAGAAGCAACAAGTAGGAAGGGTGAAATAACCCTTTATTATTCCCATTAAAGTTTAACAAAACTCCATCTTGGAGTTGTACAATAAAACCGACACTTGGGCTTCAACTTAAGAGACTAGGAATTAAACTAAACTAATCTTAACTAAAGAGAAATAACTGAAGCTATCAAAATTCTAAAAGATTTGGCCCTTTAACATTAACTGACTGCGAAGCTGTCAAGGGCCTAAAATACGGCCGAGCGTAATAATAGCTTACGAGAGAGTAACATAGAAAGGCGGACGCGTGTAGACAGAAAACCTGGTATCTCTCTCTTAGACTGTAGAACTTCGCGGTTATATACCGCTCTTCCTCATTAGCATTCAGATGTGATTGTAAAACTACATTCTGGCCGGAATTGGTAAGTTGAAATTAAGAATCGATAGGAAAGGAAATTTAACTCAAAATTTAACTGTTAATAAAATTAACATAATCCTTACATAGTACTTTGCTTAACTTGCATCAGTAACATATACTACCTTGAGGGAGGAAGAATGGAATTACCTTGAGGAGGGAGTAACAGGTATTTTATTTTCTCAAACTTCTAGTTTTTCAAATTGGCGTGTGATTATTTAATATGCCGTTGCCATGTAATGAAGAGCATAGAGGAGTTTTCAAATTGTAGGAACTTCAAATTACACTTGTAAAGACCTTGTGAAAAAATTATCATTACACCTAATAAAGAATTATCAGTATACCTTGCAGAGAATTTATCATTATACATTTTTGAAAATACTTAAAAAATATAAAACAGGAAAAAAATTAATTACTGTCTGGTTTGTATTCATATTTTAAATATTTCAAAAATTTCTATGCTAAATAGCATGATAGATCTACTAGTTTAAGAATTAATCCTCAAAAATTTAAGATGCAAGACAATAAATATTCATTTAAAATCACCTACTCAAAATAGCTATGCCAAAGTGTCAAAGCAAAGTGTGCTGTAATAGTATTCCCTCATAAATGAACGCCAGTTGGAAACCTTTTTTTGCACTCATCTAATAAAGATAAATCTTTAATTTTCCAAGACGTACCTACCTTGCAGAGAAGACTTGCAGCAGAATCTTGTTTAAGATTACCGCCTACAATTTCAGACCATTTAGGGCTTCGATGGAAGTGATCATCATAGAGAAATTATATTCAATACCGATGCTTATTTTTACATTCAAAAATATACTGGTCACTTTCAGAGGGCTTTTTTTAAGGAAATCGTCGTTCATTATATTTTCCGCAAGTAAATGGCAGCGCATTAATAAAAATGTTAGTATAAGATTTGTACATAATTAGGAACAGAGATACTATTTCCCTTTCAAAGCATAGGTAACAATTGATTTCATTGTTTGACTTTGTTGTAAAATGTTGTAAAACTTGTGCTGTACTGTATTTTATTTCATGGAAATTAAAATATTCATTTTATGAATTAATCTTTTTTAGAATAAAATAAAAAATTAAAATACACTCGCTTGGATTACAGGAGATAATTGTTTGCCAATACAGCGGATTTTCCGACTAGGCAGCTGCAGGATATTCAATTACCTGTGTTGTAGTCTCATTTAACTCGAATATTTGGAGTCTTATTGTACTTAATTTAATTTGATTTTTTTCTTTATCGAAAACTTATTAATTGAATCTATTATATCTTCCAATCTCTACTGTGCCATTATAAGTATTATCTTTGGTATTTCCAAATAATTCATATAATTTTTCATTGTGCTTGCGATAATCTGCACTGGGCGCCTATGGGACCGCGGCATTTATCATACCAAAAAATGAGTTTTTAATATTTTAGTACGATAAGTGCTGGGATCTTACACTTATACTGTTATACCGTCATCATACACTTAATGCCGTCAGTCCACTGAGCAATGGAGTTGCTATTTGCTAGATGTTTCGTTATTAACGAAACAGGTTTTGTGTAAAAACTCCTTTCAATTCTATGAAAAGGTGGCAATCACTGGGGGGGGGGGAGATTAGATCCTTCCAGATGAAAGTTATAACTTTCAGCATATATGATTTTGCATGGGTGCGAGAACATAGACAAGAAAGTTATGTCTTAAGTTTTGGGGGTTGGCTTATTTAGATTATGGCAAAGCACTCGAAAGTAATCTGTCTTAAAAGATGAATACATTCGAGGATGAATTTTTAAGAGAAACTGGCTGGTATTCACGTTATATGTTGGGAAAACGACGAATATTTGTATACAGCTAGCCCCTTGTCTTTTGGGAGACGAACGTTCTTAGTAGTAAATACGGTACTGAAAAGAAGAGTTCAAGTAGTAGCTGCATTTTTCATTGGACTTGGAGGCAGAAATGAAGAGGATTTACAGATATATATATATATATATATTGCTACGAAAATGTCTCAGTGTCATATATGCTTTTGTTGAATGATTGCCTAATATATGTACTTAAAAAAATAAAGATTCGTTTAACTAACTTCTTTTGATGGTATATTATTATTATTATTATCAAACGGGTACTACTTTCTGGAGATGCTTCGTATAGTTCATTCGCTTCTAACATATTTTTCTTCGTTCTTTCCTTTTGTATGTATTTAAGAAAAGCTCTTGCACTGTTCATTTTAGTAATGAAAACGTTTTATTCCAGATTTTAACTTTCCAAAAATGGCACCTGAACGTAAGGTACCTATTCAGAAATCTGATTTCCATGTCCTTGACGATGAATTCCACTCGATCCGAGGTCGCTTCGAAGGCGAGATGAAGAAGATGGAAGAGGAGATGGCGCGATTGCGAGCCAAGCTGCAAGAGCAGGAGCGAGGGGCTTTCAAGTCCAGTGCATCTATTCGCATGTCCACCACTGAGGAGTCCTCTTCCAGTCACAAGTCCGTTGACCACAGCTCTTGGATGGATGACTTCAGCTCGCCGCTCATTCAGAATGGAGATGATGGCAAGAATCTCAAACTCAGATTCGATGTCAGCGATTATGCCCCTGAAGAGATCCTTGTGAAAACAATTGACAATAAATTGAAGGTATGTATGCTGATGATGTTGAAATATCTCAAAATTAGCACTGCTTTCAAATTTGCTGATGATTAATAACCGAAACATAGGTTACCTGTAATATTACAAGGAATTATTTGTGGGCCTTTTCTTGCTTCTTGCATTTTACTATAAACAAAGTACGTCTTATTCTCACCCAGCTAGAAGTGACAATAAAATGTAAGATACCCATGCATTTATTATTTTAGATAAACTCTAAAATGTTAGTGTAGGAAACTGACTACGGTGATCTAGCCAATATCTGTAATTTGTCAGTACCTGTAATGTGAAACGGCAAAAACTGAAGTTTAAGAAATTTTCATGTTGTTAACACAATAGAATTATCATATCATTTACAAGCACTAACACTGATAAAAACAGTACATAAATGAAAATTTGTGTATTTGCAATTCAGTTGACAAAATGAATCACCCAACAAGGTCGTGAAGTATTGAGATCATTTATTTGTCCAGTTGCTTGCGAAGTTTGGCAACCGTTCTGCTCATATTTAAAAAAACAAATCATAGTTAGTCACGGAGTTAGATGGCTGAAGTAACCTTCGAGCTGGTTAAATTAATACTCAATTCACTGAGGTCAAAGTCATTAAATCTTCTTAAAAAATGACACGTCTTGTGAAAATATGCCAACGAAATACATAATTTTCTTTCAAAGCTTCTGAATGTATTTCCGATATGAACGTCTGCGAGTAATTTATTCGCTTAGTAATATCTAACGTTGCACACTAATTTGGTTAATTTAATCATATACAGATTCTTGTGCCAAAAAAGTACGTTTCAGATTCAACCGGAATTGTGTTTTACTTCGTGGTAATAGACATCTATTATGATAAAAGAAAAGGCCCAGTTCGGCAGTTAGCACAGATAGTGTATGAAAAAAAATTCTTTATCACAGATTATTATTTTTAATTGTATCCCATTTTAAATTTGGTATTCTTATTCTGAAGAAAAAAACGGCGTTCATCCATTTGACCTTCCTTCTGACGACGCTTTTAACTCCTCAGCTCCATTCCAAATTGCTTTTCTATAAGATGTTTTAAATAAATTATAACATTTTATAATAACTTATACACCTTTTTGACCGGTATCTACATTTTACTCAAAACCTACTTAATCGCATTAATGAGCAGTCCAATAATTCAGAATTTATTATAATCGAATAATATGGGAATAAAAATTATCCTCTCAGTGATATTTTTATTGGTATCAATGTTGTTCTTATCAAGTAGATTTTAAATTTCTGAAAAACCAAGTTTCATGGTTCAGGAACTATCAAACAGAATAAATATTCCAAAAGAAGAACAATATATGATCATTTGAAGAAAATTGGATATGTATGCTACGACGATGTATGGATACTCCATACTTCAGAATATGTCTTCTCGTGTTTCGTTACATGATTTTTTTCTGAAAAGAAAAGAAAAAAAAAAAAAAAAAAAGAAATTCTTAAAAAAAAAAAAAAAAAAAAAAAAAATCTTCACTAGAGGTGAGAAGTGGAAACTAAAAATTATCAGGTAAGCCAAAAGAACCTCCTTTAGTAATACTGAAAGTGAGGCTTCATCCAAAACAGTAAGGTTTTTGTGTATGGTAGGATTAGAAAGGAATTGTATACTATGAATTGCTGCCACCAAATCAGACAATGAATTTGAAAAAATACTCTTCTTCCTAAATGAACAGTTTTAAAAGCAGAAAATCGAAACAAAGCCTCCAGAACTGATTCGAGTGTTGTTTTTCATCATTACAACGTTCGGGCCCAGATTTCAATAAATGTCACACAAAAATTTATTGAGTATAGGTGAGATGTTTTGTGCCCCCTCCCCATGTTCACTAGAACGTGTCCTCTTGGATTTTCATCTCTTCCGAATTTTCTTAATGCCTGGATTTCATTTATTTGGAGACTGTCTAACAGCATCTTCATAAACTTTTTTACAATACTCGTAATGATTTTTTAAAAAGGAGTTTCCAATAATTGTTAAATTTTGTTTATGTTATTAAATGAAATTTTCGTATATTTTTTAAATGCTGCATTTGTACGTATCGTCGAAGAACCTCAGAACTTTATGGATGACCTAATAAATCCTCTAAAACAAGGCACACTGATTTTATTGTTAGTTAATCACTGTAGAAAGGGTACTCAACAACTTCTGACGGCAACGGGCTTACTACTGCCTCCTGCGAATACTGAACTTTTTATAACTTTATATAAGTGTTAGCAAAAATTTCAAAGTCAAAATTGGCAGTTAAATAAGTATTCTATCGCTGTTCTGCTTATAGCTTTTTATGAATGAATTTATGCTCCTGAGGAAACTTCATGTTGATTACCTTTCTTTACTCGGACCAACTGCAAATGGTTTGATGGTCTTAGAAAGTAAGAATTATGTTTTCTGTGGCGGTGTTTAGCATAACTTTTTGACGTATACGAGGACTGCACTGTACTTCTTTCTGAGCTCTACGTCATTTTGGGCATCAAAGAGTTAAACGGAAATAAATTTATAAATTAACATAACTGTGACCTTTCGTGTCTTAATCACGCTTTCAAAATCGGTTATGCCACAATTGAGGGAAGACGAAACTGTAGAGGTATAAAAACAAATAATTTATTCCAAAGGGCCCAGAGAGCATCGGTGGTACTTCCCTAATCAAAGCCACATCGTAAATTAATATTCTCGGTATACAGAAGAGAAGCGCCTTCTAACGGCTTCACAAATTCAAAAATCGTTTGAGAATTTTCTCAACAATATACTTACGCCGAAAGAATAAGCGACTTTTTCCATTAGTTAGCTGTTTGAATATATGTTTGGAGGATTTACGCAACTATTTAAACGTACGCTTATATGACATGCTAGCTACGAATTTTTTCTTTTTATTTGGAATTTTTTCTTTTTATTTGGAATTTTTTCTTCAATTAGTGTTGCTCGCTACAATGATATTCTATTAAACTGATAGACTGTTAGAACATTTTAGTAAGTCATAATATTTTCAAGTGATTATTCGTTATTACATCTTTCCTGAGCAGGTGTTGGTAAGCAGTTTGTTCAGCCGTTATACACAGTGCATCGATTATCTTCATATAAAATCGAAACTTGAAGAAAATCATATTCTTACTTCACCCTTCAATATGCAATCCATATAAGTCTATATATATAATGTTTGGCACGTTCACATTGCGGCTTGATTCCTTCATAGAACTCATGTATTGGAATTCTGTTTTAAGTTATAAGGTATTTCTCCCGCTTTCCTAGCGTGCCTTCGTAGTGTAGTGGTTCTGCACGCCGGGCCGGTATTCCAGAGGTTCGTGGTTCGATTCCCGGCGAAGGCGTTGCTATTTTTTTCATCTCGTATGCTTCCAAAAAATACCTAATGTCTCTATAAAGTATATGGTTACAGTTTTTTGTATCTCTTCAATATTTAAGTATTAATTCAATATTAATGTAAGACCTTTAAGGAAAGACTCACGTCAGGGAACAGAAAATAGTCTGCAAATGCAAAATATAAATAAGATGGGATTTGAGAACTGCGACACTTTGTTAGAAATAAACTGACGAGAATGAAATTCTGTAATGGCGAGTTATGCTACAAAAGAGATCAGTTAGTTGTACGATTGAGCTCAAGCTTAAAGCGCTGAATTCTTTTCAGAATTCTGTATTTTATACATTATTACCATATTTATAAAATATGGAGTTCTCCATTTCTCCCTCAGAAACAAATTCCTCATTAATTATCTCTCTTCAATGAATAAAGTTCAACAAATGTGTTTACTCCAGATTTCTGTAGACGAAATTTCTGTGACCGTGTTGAATCTTTGCTATCCCAAGCAAGGTGATTACCATTTTGTCTGAGATCATTATCAAAATACCAAATTTCATCTTCAGTTACAATTTATTTGAAAAAAGTCAGAATTGATATCTGCCAATTGAATAAAATCACGACATGCAGAAATTCGATCTTTTATCGCATCTGCAGTCAATGCGTAAAAGACAGCGAATTTTTCGCGTTCAAGATCTTCTATTACTGTTTTGTAAGCAGTGTCTTCCCTAATGTTAAGCTCATCAGCTATCAGTGGAAGAAAGAGGTAAACGGTGTTTCAGGAACATATTTTTTGACGTTCTCATGGTTTGACCACTCCTCGGTTCCTCGTCATCGTATTCATCACAAAACTGAAAATCATTGAATCATATTAAATATATGATATAATATCTTTACGCGATATTTTAAATGTCTACGCTTCATGTCTTTTTATTTCCTTGTACGAAGTAAAAAGGAAGTATTGTAATTGCGAAAAGTTTCAGGCAGCATATTTCAACGAAAATATCCATTTTGACTGCTATCGAATGCAATTTAACGATGTTTTTGCGTGACATCTGTACGTAAGGACACTATAAAGACTCTTTTCCTCCAAAAAAATTATAAAACTGATTTAAAAGGAATTCTGAAGAGAATATTTCGTGGCGTCTGTACGTACGTACGTGCGTACGTACGTAATACGTACGTATCTCGCATTACTCAAAAACGAGTAGCTTCAGAACGGAAATTTTGTATATAGGACTGCTATAACATGTAGATGTACACCTTGTATTTTGGTTGCAATCGGCCGCACCAAATGTATATAAATATATTTATATATATGTCCGCTCTGTTACCCGACTCAGTGATCTCAGTTTCTTTACTCTTATATGTTTGTAAATTGTGCATTGTTTGCTTTAAAAACGATTGAATTATGTTGTTCTTATCTTCCGGGTAAGGGTTTTATGCCTTTAGTAAATCTGCAAGCAATAGTTGTACAATTATCAACAATTTAAAAGCTGCGTAAGTGCGGTTAAGCCTAATGTTTAAATAACACGGTGGACATATTTTTTTTACATTTGAAGCAGCAGAATAGTATATTTGTTGCCAATCTAGAGAGACTAAGCTTCGCAACAACAAAGATATCGCCTTCATTTATTATTGCGAATTAAATCGTGCTTAATCCATTCT